CCTATCCCGGCCCACTTCCTGTCTCCATCCCTGACCCGGGCCCCCGGCGTGTCCTACCCTTGACCCTGGCCCACCCTACGCCCCGACCCCAGACCCCGGCCCACCTCCCAGTTTGGCCTGGGTGTCTAGGGACCTGGCGGGGGAGCGGCGGTGAACGCAGGCCCGGAGCTTGCTTTCTGCGCAAAGCAGCCCTCAGTGAGTGGAAGGGGCTGTGTGGCTCTTCAGAAGGGGTTCCAGGTCTGCCCTCCAGGGAAGGGCCTACTGCCTGCCCCTGGCAACCTTACAAATAACAGCGAAAACCTTCCTGAGCCTCAGATTATGTGAAAAATGGAAATAATGGTGTTTACCTGTAGTATACCTGAGGTGTGGGGCACATACCAGTGTTTACTAATACTGTAATAGTATTTCTAATCAGTACCAAAGATAGGAGCAAATAAATTGAACCGGGCAGCCTGGTCATGCCTTGGAATGGAAATGTGAGAAGTACAGGGAACGCCTGTCTCCTGCAAACCCCAGCCTGTTACCGGTGCCCTGTTGATCATCAACATCACTGCAAACATGGATGTTTTAGATGTGTCTCTCATGTTACTTGGATTAATTCAGGCTGTAATTAATTTCTTTCTTTCTCTATGTTTAAAACTGATCATCGTGTGTTTGCCCTTTGAAATGAAAAGCCAGTGGCAACTATAGTTAAAAAACATTTACTTAACAAACAAACAAAAAAAAGGAGACCGATTTCTCAGTAAGGCAGAATATGGAAAGAAATAAATAAATCGCAACTGTGTCTTCCTATTTAGGACCCACTATGCTGAGGCTTCCCTGACTCCTCCAGGACCAGGGGCTCTGACTATCCCCTGCCTGGCTTTCAAACCAGATCATCTCATGGACTAAAAACGACTTACCAGCTTTTAAACAATCAGATGCCAGGACTCCAAAAGGGACATTCACCTGTTTTCATGAGACAAAACCCCCCTTGTTCATGACCCTGCACTAGAAGCAGGGCCCACATGCTCTGTTAATTCAGTGTTGAGGTTCCATAGAGTAGACCCGGCCCTGAGCCACCAGTGTGGGGGCAAGGCTGAGACCTCTCCGTGTTCTTGGTGGAGAATGTCTTGCTGTGCAGGTTTCTCCTCTTGTATACCACACCACACGTGTTCTCTTCTTGCATTTCTTCAGATGTGTGTAGCTCTTCTAAGCCTGCAATTAAATGCTCTTCCTTATGCAAGAAATTATTTTGTCATCTGTAATGCACCTAGTCAACTTTAAAAAAAACCTTTCTCAACTCAATAAACTGAAATGAATAAAAGCTGTTAATTATTTTAGTCAAGTCACTAAACTCTCCCTTGAAACAGCCTCCTTTTCCTATTGGATATGTGACAGAATTGTCAGGTAAAGTTAAGGTTGCTCAAGGACATTTTGGCTGGAAGGATGGATTTGTAAGTCCCAAAAGTATAAAACATGTATGAGGAACAATATTAGTTTTCCATGTGCCTTCCTCAGATCACCTCGAGGGCCCTTCTGCTGGGGGCACAAAGGCTGAAGCGAGGTCTTGGTTGAAATGAAAATCTCAGCACCCGTAACCTGCTCAAGCATTAAATCCACACCAACATCTCTCTTGGGACCAGTGTCCCCTGTGTGGCTGGAATGTGTGTGGCATGTAGGAGAAAGCATTTGGGTAGAGGGGTGAGGCCGTGTGTGGTTGCAGTGACGTCCCTTCTCCAGGGTTCAGTTTCACCCAGGGACGTGGGGTTCCAGAGTGACCAGGGAGTGGCTATGGTTACCGTGTCAGGTGGAAGAGGGGTGAATGCTGCACAGCACAGGCATGCCCCACCTGGAGCGAACTCCATGCAGAACTCTGACAAATTATGTGTTCCCAGCCAACATGTGTTGGGTATCTGCGTGTATGTTCCAGCTCCTTCAGGCCTGGCCACAGTAGGGAGTCCAGCAACATCCCCTCCTTCACGAAACAGAGGCGCTGGTGTATTCCAGGTTGTTTCCTAGGGTGGCAGTTGCTGACAGATGACACATCAAAGGCCGTGCATGCTGTTGCCTCCTCAGCTCTGGCATAAGCAGTCAGGCTGAAGCAGAGGTTCCACACAATTTTTCCTGCAAGTGAGTTGTTCCTGCTGGGTCACATGGTCTGCTGATAGAATGGTGTCCTCTGTAACTGTGTACAGCAGGACTCTTTGGGATTCACAGGAGGGTGTTTTGCCTTTGAAGCAACACTGCTTGAGTAAGCATTTTAACAATATGCTCCATTTAATGCTCAAGTAAGAACAACAAGGGAGACTGTCTCTTGGGCCAGACTTCGTCACCTCTGAGGTTCTGAAGCTCTGCAACTGAATGACTCTCGCCTGGAGAGAAAGCCCAGAAAGGTGCCATGTCCTTGGGTAGTAGAAGAGGCTGACGTAAAATTACATGGAGCCCAGGTAGGGCTGCCACTGCATGCAGAAGAACCCGTGGTCAGGGAAGCTCACAGAACTGTACACTGGGCGTGGAATCCAGCCTCAAGGGTGCTTGCCCCAGAAACAACTCAGGTGACTCATGGAAGGAATGACTTGATTCCAGGGGCTGCCCTGGTAAGCATTTCTGCCTCTTACTCACCAGCTGGCTCTGAGCACCTGTTTAGACACTTTCTTTTTCTTTTTCTTTTTTTTGAGACAGGGTCTCACTCTGTTGCCCAGGCTGGAGTGCAGTGATGCCGTCATAGCTCACTGCAGCCTCAGATTCCTGGGCTCAAGTGATCCTCCCACTTCTGCCTCTCAGAATGCTGGGATTACAGGTGGGAACTACCATGCCTGACTACTTTTTCTTGTGTAGAAGGTGGCCTTTCTATGTTACCCAGACTGTTGTCAACCTCTGGCCTCAAGTTATCCTCCTGCCTGGGCTTCCCAAAGTGTGGGGACTACAAGTGTGAGCCACTGCACCCGGCCTAAATGTCTGGACACCTCTGTGGGGCAGAGCATGTCATGTGGTACATGTTCTATTTTAGAAACTCTACCTGGACATGGTTTGTGATTGGGGCACATGGTGACACCTCTCCCAGTAACTATCGAGAGGTTTGGCATGTCCTTGTCCTTCTCTCCCTTGCTCTGTGCTGTATGACACTGCCTGTGTGTGTCAGGTGGTTTGTTGGAGGAGGCAGAACTTTCAGAGACTCACTGGTCAGAGGCCATCCTCAAGCAGTGGAGTGGAGTGAGCCCGGAGCGGGGCCTGTCCTCTCCCCTGCGGTGCAAGTGAGCCAGTGTGTAGGGAGGAGGGTCTGGGTAGATAGAGACCCTACAGTGTCCCTGCCCATAGCACCCCTCCATCTGCTGCCCCACCCAAGGCTAGCCCTCTGATTCTTTAGCCTGTAATTTCTTATCAAGATGTCATCATACTGCCAGTCTCCGGAGTCTGAGAAGTAAGTGCTAAGTGTGCCAGGCTCTGCCCAACCTTCGTACTGATCCTTTCACTCTTGGGAAGGCCACAAAACCCAGGGTGCACCAGCCTGGCTCAGCTCGGGAACTTGTGCAGTTTGGTTGCTTTTAGGTAAGAATTCTTGCCGTACTGAGTCCTGCAGGATGGCTAGGCTCAGCCTTCATGGGGCACGTCCTCCAGGAGCCAGGAGGTCTGCAGTCACAGCTGCTGGAGCCTTGGGTCTGACTTTCTGGGACTCCCCAGATGAAATTGGTCTGCCAACGGCCTCACTGCCCAAATTGCACTTCCTGCTCTCCATCCCTGTCCTCTCCAGGAATCATCCTGCACCCTAGAGAGTGGGTGGGGCCAACTTCAGGCACCTTTGAATTGCTGGCACTCTCCATGGTGCTGGCGATGGAGCCACAGCTCCTGGAGCCCTGGCAATCAGGAAGAGATGTCTGTGTGTGTGTCTGCATGAATGTCTGTGTGTGTGTGTGTGTGTGTGTGTGTGTGTGTGTGTGTGTGTGTGTGTGTTGTGTGTGCATATTATCTACATGTGTGCATGTATGTGTGCCTATGTTCTTGTGTGTGTGTATGTCTCTGTGGTGTGCGTGTGCGCATGCATATGCATGCATATGTGGCTGCTGTTGTGCATCTATGTGTATGTATATGCATATGTGCATATGTGTGTGAACGCATGTCTGTGTGAATGTATATGTGTGTGCATGCATGTGTTTGCATCATATACGTCTGTGGTGTGCATGTGTGTGTGCATGCATGTGTGTATGTGTGCATGTATGTATGTTTTGTGTATGCGTGTGCATACATGTGTATCTGGTGTGTATGTGTTTTTATGTGGTGTGCATCTGTGTGTGGTGTCTATGGGTGTGTGCATGCATGCATATGTGGTGTATGTTTATGTGTGTGCTTGCTGAATTGTCTTCCAAATGGCATTACAGTGTTTTTCAGCCCAGCCTTGTTTTGGTGAGAACACAACTCTGAGAACTGAGTGGTTTGCCAGTGGTTCTGTCCTGGTTAGTGGCAGTGCCAGGACCCCTAGCAGCACCCTGCTCTCCACTCCGCTAGGATATGTTTACTAGTCCATAATACAAACTATGACAGTTACCCACAAATGTAAAATGCTTACAAACCATTAGAGCACTCTACAAGGAATTACTTTGGGCAAACTTCACTTGGAATAGTTTTCTTCTAATTCTTTTTTTTTTTTTTTTAAAGAGATGGGGTCTCACTTTATTACCCAGGTTGGCCTCAAACTCCTGGCCTCAAGTGATCATCCCATGTTGGTCTCCCAAGTAGCTGGGATTGCAGCACCTGGCTTTCTTCCTCTTCACCTTCTTCTTCTTCTCCTTCTCCTTCTGTTTGAATGATTTTTATTTCTGGTCTTATTTTGAGCACTATTTTTCTTTTAATTAATATTTCAGAAAGCTTGCCAACTTTTGCTTAAATCATGGGTGGTGATTTTTCCATTAGTGATTAGATTATGAAACTCCTTAAGAATCTATCAGTCATTGAATTAACATAGTATACTGAACTTTTCTTTCTTGTGACATGATATAATGCTATTGTCAGTGTATTCCTTTATTCATAGATTATAGGCAAAGGTTAAATACTTTGCCTCATCATAGAGATTTTAAAACACCATACATACAGTGATGATCATTTTCCAGAAAACTGTAGCTAGGCCAGCATATGGTCAGTAGGCATTTAAGCGTAGTTTTTACTGAAAAGAGAACATTTAAAATATCAGATTTTCAAGAAATGCAGTAACCCTAAGAAATTTTAAATTTAAAGTGGCTGTTGAAACCAGATGAAAAGGGAATAAATAGAGTTGGTATTTATTGGGGCTGGGAATTTTTAGTTTTCTTTGATGAAATTTGTTGTTTTTGTTTTGTGGTTTTACTGGAAATGTTTTGGGTCAGGTGAAGAAGAGGAGGGAACATCCTCAAACTGGCCATGGTGAAAATTTCTACAAGTGGTCATTTCTGATCTTTTTTTCAGTAGCAATTTTTCATTTAAATATGATTTTTAAAAGTCTGCGAATTCTTGTTTCAAAACTGAATCAGTTTTCCATTCATAAGCCTATTACATGAAAACTCTAAACATGAATGTCCTATTTTGTTCTGTATGTTTTACCCTCAAAATGGAATATCAAGAAATCACGTTTTAAGAGTTTCTTATAAATATTGATGCTCTTATTTTAATGAATTCCTATAAGCATGTGGTCCTTTCACTTTTAAAGCTATTCAAGCACCCACTTTTTGAAATAACTCTTTTCAAAATGATTTTATTTCTCATATCCTCAAACTAGCTGTGAACATATTTTTCTCTGAAAATATTTCTCTGAAAACATTTTTCCAGGAGACACCAGTTTATAGGGATGATAAAGTTTTTGGCATTTTTGGTTAGAGAATCCCAAATTAATGATCATTATTTCTAATCTCTTCCATCACCAAAAGTTTAATCATAACTGTTTGATTTTAAATCAAGCATCTACACTGAGGAAGAGTTTAGACTGGAATAGGTTTACTGCCAGCAATCAAACTTTCCGTTTCTTTTTGAGCTACAGATATTTACAGATTTTCCTAGGTGTCTAATTCCAAAGAATACTACTGAAAGATTTTATTTGGTTTATGTCTTTAAATTGAAATAGCAAGTGTGGGCAACAGTCATTTCTGAAAATCATATCAAAATGACTTAACTCCCCTGTGAGAGGAGACTGATTCTCTGTTTGGTACTGCAGCATGTTAATGTCAGATGGGGTGTTTTTCTCCATGTGGGCCTTTGTTTTGTCAGTCATTTCCTGGTTTCTGATTGCTTGGTCTACTTGGAAATTGTATTTGTTTTTCTGCAGGCTTTTTTTTTTTTTTTTTTCCGATTGGCATTAAACCCTCATTGCTCGTCTTTTTATTTTTCGGTGATTGCTTTTTGACAGGCACTAGAGTTTCAAGTTAAAACTTGCTCTTGTTGCTGGGGAAGGAGCACATTGATGAGTCGTGAGAAAATCGAGAAGCCAGGTGGCCTCAGGTTTCTGGCAGGCCTCTGTCCTGTCCACTAAGCACTTTTCGTTTGGTCCACATGGCACTGCATTGCCCACTGTTTCGTGGGATTCTTTTATTTTTATTTAACACCTCATAAATTAAACCAAAAGAGACTTTTAACCTTTTACTTGATTTTTTTTTGGGGGGGCCTTACACACTTACCTGAAAACACACTAGATCAAAAAGGAGCTTTTCAACAAACCAAAATGATAAATGTTTTTTACAAATTATATTTTACAGGCAAGCACAGTGGCCAATGCCTTTTATCCCAGGACTTTGGGAGGCCCAGGCGGGAGGATTGCTTGAGCCTAGTCGTTTTGAGACCAGCCTGAACAACATAGCAAGACTTCCTCTCTACAAAAAATTAAACAAAAAAATTAGCTAGGCATGATCGCACACACCTGTAGTCACAGGACTGAGGGCACACATATCTCTTCTGAGAGAATAGCCCTGCTAGGGAGGGGAAAGACGGTGTCCAGTGGGGCCTACCTTGTACTGGTTGCATGTGACAGATATCTACAGGCTACTAGTCTGTTTTCTACTGATCCACTTTAAGATTGCTCCTGCCTTCTACTTCCATTTTAGAACTTTTATTTGGCAATGACACATCTATATCAAATATTTTCATTTGCGACATGAAATTTTTTTTTTTCCATTTTTTTTTATTATGAAGTTGTGGGGTACAGTTAAGGGTTAGGTATACAATTGCGTTTCATTCAGGCACCCTGTTGATATGGGGTGTTTCCCCGTTCCCAGACAGATATTTGCTACTGTTAATCCCATCTCCCTCCCCCCACCATAGTTTCCCAGTACGGTCAGTCATTTTCGTATAGTATTGCATTGGATGTTTAAGGTCCATTATATGAGTGAGAACATGTGATATTTGGATCTTTGTTTCTGTGAGAGGTCACTCAGTATTATAGACTCTAGTTCCATCCAGGTTGCTGCGAAATTCATGATTTTGTTCTCT